TGTATTTATAAAGAATAAAATATTAAGAGCTCTTATGAGTTAGAACCAAAGCCTACTGTGCATTTAGAGAGAATTTACATAGAGTATGTATTTATAGAAAGTGCACTTATAGAGGTTTTATTGTATTTATAAGTTTATTTCCTCTGATGCTAGAGGCTATTTCTACTAGATTTTGACTAGAGTATATTTATATAATGTTACTAGGTCTTTATTACTGAATGGTCGGGTAAGTAAAATAAAGAAAAAAAAAGTATGTATATACATATCTCCAGCACCTTTGTAAATATTGAGATCTTCAATGCACATTCCACATGCTCTTATTCTCTAACATAGGTGTAAGACTCCAATGCTATTTTTCTATCTCTTTTTCAACATAAATGCAAGCCTAGAGGATCATAAATGAAGCCATTTAAATGGGAAGTATAGTAAAATTATTATACCTTTATGTTATTTTTTACTTCTTCTAGAAAAGTTTTCACTAACATTTAACTTCTTATTCTATCTAAACATGGAAGAGTTCCTTTTAATCAGAGAATCCCTCGATATTGTCAGAATATTCACAGTGTTATATATATGAGTAAAACAAGGTGAATGGACAGGCATCCTTAAAAAGAAGGTAGAGAACTTTGAAAATATTTTAGAGCGAGTTTTAGAACAAGTTTCTTCAGAAAATATTGAACGAAAAATGAAGCTTCAAAGTTTTGAAGTTTTAATACTGGAAAAAATTTAGCAAAATGGGTAAAGATAATAAGCTATATTCTTGTCAAATATATGGATATGATGTATTTTTTAGGTTTTCTAAAGGGCTTATATGCTAGTGAATGGGTTATGTCCATTGTGATATTATTATTTCTCGCATAGCAGTAGCTAATTATATATATTCAAATATTGATTATTGAGCGTATTACTAGTATTTTTGATAATTTATAAAAATGAAAACCTAATCTGATCCCATAAATTATTATTCACTTTAATTAACAAAATATGTTAAGTCTAAGCTAAGTTAATTATATTTAGGATGCAAGTACCTTTAAAGATTTATGTTCTCTTACAGAAATGAAAGCTTTGGTGATTGATGCAGAGACTTGATTTAATAATGTAAATGCAAATTTGTATTTTTTAAAACGTGATGTTGGTCAGCTTATAAATGAGAGTACTGATTATAAGAAAACTATGTGAGAAAGAATCGAAATGGAATTAGAATAAATAAATATTAAAAGCTTTAGATTTGACTATTCAATATGTTCTGAGATTCTCGATATTAGATCTGAACCTTTTACGAAGATGCCTAGATCATTTTGTGATGTTTTTAAGAAATCTTTTTAAAAATATAGGCTAGATCAGAACAATATCATAATGGATGCTTGTAAAGAGTTCATTCATAATAAAAAATCGAAGATTAATATGAATGATAATTTGAGTAATGTTGAATATAGGAGATGGCTAGATAAGCCTGAGATACTTCAAATAATGTCTAGACAAATACTAAAAGCATTATAAGTTCTTTATTTTTTTGTAGGAGATGATCAAATTTCTAACAATAAATAATTCTTTACAGACTTAAAGTCTGGAAATCACCTAAATATAAAGCCTATTCAAAGAAAGGAAAACCAGTTAATGAAGGGTCATATATTTGTAAAGTACTTGCATCTCTAATAAACATAGTGTTAAGCAATTTACCTGGGAATCCAGTTGTATGAGATATATGATAAGTTAAAACCAGATATGGATTAGCTCAAATTCAGAGCCTTATTTTGTATTACAGTATAATGATTATATTTTTCAATAGAGGTGAGAAAGGGAGCTCAACTAACGTCATATAGAAAGGTTTTCATAAATTTGCGTAAAAGCCTGACTGTATGACTATAGTATAACTAGAAAAGAGCATAGAACTTGAAATTGTATATCTAGAAACTGGTAGACTAAACTCCACTCAAGACAAACGACAATGAGATCATAAAAAGTTAGTTCGATTTTCTAAAGTCTCCATTGATACAATAAGAAATATATCAAAGCTTAAAAGAATATTCAATCAATTATTCAAGAGACAGAATTTGAGTATATTTATCATTAACATTACCAGTATATATCAATTTATTTCACGTTTTAATCAATCAATAATATTTAACCATATTTATTTTATATAAAATGGCAGGCGATGTTATAGAACTTTATGCTATGTGAAAAAAATTGGGTATTTATAAGTATTGCTTAATAGAGAAAGCAACAATTCCATTGCATATAACTTTTCTAAGTGCTGTATATCTGCTTATACATGCATTGTTGACTTTGAGAACAGCTGTCACATATACAATTTACAAAATATTATATAGTTCTGATTTTGGAGATAGTGAACATAGTTCTAGTGAAATGGTAGTAATGGTTTCAACCCCAAAAAATTCATAGAATAGAGATTTCATATATATAATTTTTATTAAATTCTAATAAAGTGATATATAATAAAATATTTTCTTGGTAAATTTACAGGACAAAAAAATATGTGATTTGTTTCTTTTGAATATTAATATACTAATACTACATTATACAAGCATGCAATCTGAAATAGATGATCCTGGTGAGACTGATTCGTATTAGCTCACATTAAAAAAATGATTCAAAGAAGTTTTACTTGTGCCAGTACTTATAGATAGTTAATTAGGATTAAAAATAATAATGATCTGGTCTAACTGAAAGGTGCTTTACATAGTCCTTATTTATATAATTTCTGTAGGTAAAAATTGGTTATTTTTTTTTTTACAAATTTCAACATTTCCTGACTATGAGCTAAATAATCACAATAAGTACTAGGGTAAATATAGAATATATTAACATAAGCGATATCAAGAAGCTTATGATAATAGGAACAGTTGTTAATAAAGATACTGCTTTTGCACCATCTGCAGAAAATATTTGGGAAGGTGAAGGATTAAGAGTGGAAAGGATCCCTTTAAGACCATATTATGATAAATTATTCATAGGTAGGAATGGAGGATCTACTTCATTATGCGAAATGCTTCTTGACTCTTTCTTTAACGCTAACTGATCTTTAAGGGACCTATTTTCCTCCATCAATTTTAATTATTCTAAAGACTGATTATTCAACTCCTATTTTTATATATCATCTGACAACTCTATTCCTTTTTTCATACATTCTATTTCATAATTTTTGAATCTAGATTCTCCTTTATCTATTCCAATTCAAGCCTGAGAGAATTGATCTCTTTAGGGTCAGATAAGTTTATTTGGGCTAGCTCTTCTACTACTCCTTCCATTGCATCTGAATCATGAAACACTTGTTTTAGTTTCAAGTCATCTAACTTACCTTTCAATTCTCGTATTTTAGCTTCAAGAGAGAGAATTTTGATCTTGTTAGCAGACAAAGTTTTTTGAGCTAAAGCTAGTTCTCTTTTTAGTGTTTTAATAGAAGATTTGAGTGATTTGATTTTGGTGATATATTTGGCTTCAAGCTTACTATTAGCTATATTCAGCTGACTAAACTTATTATTAAAACCTGAACAGATATAATTAAACTTCTTCACTTGCTCTAAATATACATCTTGCAGGTCTTTATAATCATTAGCAATATCAAAAGCAGTTTTAATGCTACCATGCAATACTTTTTCAAGTTCTGGTTCATAAATACTACCAAGCCGATGGCCTAGAGAATATGTTTACTTAATGAACCCTCAATCACTCTTCTATTCTCAATATCTCTTAAAGTATACGTATTGAACATAATTTTTTCAGCTTGATCATTAGTATACTAAAAAAATATGAGCAAATTTTTAAGATCACACAATCCTGAAAATACTTTTATTTTTTTATGAATACTAGCATATTACTGATACTACAATATTACTGATACTATTATATTACTAATACTACTACTGATACTATTGATACTACAATATTACTGATATTAGTATAGTACTAATAGTATTATATTATCAATATTAGTATAATACTAATATTAGTATAGTATCAATATTTTTTATACATTTTTATTTATAGTGAAAAAAATCTTTAGTGATTAGCTACTAATATGATTACACCCTAGCTTAAAACACATATTAGTTCCAGGGCTAGTTACTTATCTCTTGCAGATTATAAAGATATTATGCAATATCGTGATATGAAGTCCAAACCTTTAGCTCATTTAATCTGATTTAAAGCTGTACCAATATTTCTTAAGATATCTAGTAGTACCATATTTTCTTGATGTTCTTCTTCAGAAGGTTTATTACTATTATTTTGAAAAAGTGATATCTTAAGAATTTAACTTTTAAGCTTTTTTACTATATTTTCTAATAAAATGATTTGATTATCTTAAGCGATTAATGCCTCATCCTTTAGCTCTAAATGATTCTGATATTTTTTAAGATTATGTAGGGTAGAACAGTATTCTGCTTTTAATCTATCTAACTCATCCTCTCATAAAATAAGATTTTTTTCAAAATATTTGATATATAGTTCACATCACTCTAGATCGTTTATGAGTTTGTAAATCTTTTCCTTATTTTTAATAGTAATAGTTTCCTCTTTAGTCAATTTTATTCGCAATTTTAAATTGCTGTCTAGCAAATCAAGATATGTCTGTTCAACTTCCATTGATCCTATTATTCTAATAGATTTTGGTAAGACTCGAAATATAAATATGTTTTCAGCTTTGTGTAAAATTTATTATCAGCCTTCGGGCTATCAGAAGATTTAAAAAAATTATACAAAGCTTTTAAAAAGGTTGGGTATGATTTAGTTTAAACAAAGTTAAGGATTGACTTAAAAGACAGGCTGTTCACCAAATTCATATGCCTCATCCTAGATTTATTCAGTATGCTTCCTTTAATAATATACAATTTTTAAATGAAATGTACTAATTTAATACTACCCCTATATCTCATGATAAAGTAGGTAATCAGATTTATAAGTATAGGAGCATTATTAAAGATGTTACAACTAGGTATCGACATAGTTTTACATTAATTGATAAATCTTCTGCACAAATGGCTAAGAATATTCAAAAAATTTATGATGATCCTAAGGAGCCTCTTTCTTGGCCAATTTGCTTTAATTTAAATAAAAAGATGGAATATATAGGGATTGTAAGAGTTTATTGCTTAAACATGATATAAAAATACAATATGTCAAAACTAAGAAAGGTAATGCTATAGCTGAACATAATCATAAAGAATTTGAAAAGCATTCTGGTATTCAGCAAAATGCTATAGATTTTCTGTTACCTTTATCAAATCATTTTAGAGATTGAATTAGAAGTCTTCATATTAATGATGACATATTTAATACTACTCCTATTTAGTTAATAGATATATCTTCTAATGAGGCAGTCGAAAGAGCATTTAATAAGGAGAAAATAATTGCTAAGCCAACTGTAAACATAGAAGACTTATTGGATATGACGAACCTTGTTTATCCTATTATAACTTAGTAAGATATCTTCTTAAACTAGAAGAGTTAGGACATGGTCCTGCTAGAAGATGTGCTACTGATATGAATTGGTCTTCTCAGGTTTATCATATTTGTGAATCTTTAGTGCAAAAAAATTAGTTAATCTTATACTGGCTAATAAATGATAAGGGAAATAGCCCAAAAAGATCCTTTGTAAGAGAGGAATTGATGGTTATTTCTGATACTAAGTTACCTTCTCAATAGGTCTTATCAAATTGATAATAAGAAGTCTTCTACTTCATTATTGATATCTTCTTTCTTAATAAAATAATCTTTAGCTAATTTATAATATAACTTATATAAATCTATGATGGTATTAAGAATCTCTGGATCTCTTCTATACTAAGATTTGTAATCATCCATAATTTGATAATATTTGCATTCATTAGGAAATATTATTTAGGCTAAATTTATTATATATTATTCAGGATCTTCTGACTGACGCAATTTTTTAACTTTTTCTTTATAGTTTATATGAATTTTCTATTCTTGAGCTTTTTAAAATATAGTCCTGCCTTTACTATATTTATTAATGCTTGCTTAACCTACTAAAAGGTGGGCTTGACTTCAGATAAAACTTCTTGGGTAGCTTGATTTTGATTGCTTATTATATATATATATTTATTACTATACTATGTAAAGATTTCTTTAATTAAATTATTTCTACCTCTTTTCTTTATAATGTGTTCTAATATTTTTCTTATTTAAACAATTGTATACATTTTGCTAATAATCTTTTTCAAACTATAGTATGAAAGCAGATTACATTTGCAACTATCTTCATAATTCTAGTAAAATTTGTAGCAGACGTAGTATTAGACTTGAAGGTTGTTAATTATACTTTAAAGCTAAGAAGTGCTAGCTATGCTTTGCTTGTAATAGACCTACAAAGATATATAAACCTACAAGGATAGATAATGGTTTATATAGCAATTGTAATAAAAGCAAATATCAGATCCGTTATGTAAACAAGCTTCAGGATAAGGCTAAGCAATTTGATCAAGTATACTTTTTAGGTGAGACTTAGAGGGTCGAGCTATTAAGGCACTTTACAAAGCACGTTACATGAGACTTATCTTATATACTTTAAAGAATCAAGCCAGAGGAGTTTTTTTAATCAGACGTATTGCATGAGGTCTAACCTCTAATCACCTGAGATTAGTTTTTTTAATCTTATGTTTATGTAAAGGAAATAGTTTTAGAAAGGTTTTCTGCATATTGAAAAAATATTAGTATACTAGAATATGTTTTATAACTTCTTAAACTATAAATTAGATAACCGTTAAATCTAATCTCTGATTTGTAATTCTAACTTCTAATCCAATTTTTTACGTTTGAGGTTGATTTTTTAACCTTAAGTTTACGTAATGCAAATGGCTTTAGAAAGATATTCTGCATATCAAAAAATAATGATATACTAGAATATATTATATAGCTTTTAAAACTATGAAATTGATAACTGCTAAATCTAACCTCTTTGAGGATAGACTTAAGCATATAGATACTAAAGGTTAGACTTAGTAAATTTTTGATTTCATTAATGAATCAGTTTTAGAATTAATTCTAGAATAGCATAAATAATAGTATACATAAAAGATTTGCAAAGTCCATGAGCTTGGCTTCAAACCTTCAGTTCTTGTCAAGCTCGCCTCATCTCAAACTCAAACAGAATGATATATTTTTTTGATATATTATTTGAGATTAAAATTAAGTTAGAAAGGCTATAAGAGATTGATTTATTCTTAGTATCTGACGGAGTAAATTAATACCAATTTAATACCAAATATTTAGATAGCAGAAAGTGCTCAAATTTTGACTAAAGTTTAAAATTCTATAGTGGATTCTTATAGCTAGAAGGCTTTGAAAATATGATTGGAAACCTTTCTGTGAATTTTAATTTTAGAACCTCTATTTTAGTCCTACTACTTCACATGATTCTTTTTCTAAATCTTTAAACTTAATTTCTTTCCATTTTTTATTACCTAACAAATGAAATTTTATTGAATTATTGGTCTGACATCTTTTACTCTCTGCTATATAAAATAAAATTGTGAGATTCAAAGAGATTCAAATAATATTTGTATTCTACAGTGCAAAATCTCAAATTTGCTTAATCATAATATTGGTATTTCAAATAACACAAAGTTGTAATACAGCATTTCTGAAAGTACTTTAAACCATATAAAATAATTTTCAACTAAATTATATAACATTTGACTAAAACAGATATGGTCCTATTTGTATTTTATACAAATCTCATAATATAATTTTTAAATAAAAAAATTAATAATTCCATAAAGTTCTCATTTTAAGATTAATAAAACACTTATTTAAAATAAACTTTTTTGGTCAAATTGATCTGCACAATTTTGACCATAAATTTAATATAGAGTACTCTTAATTTTAATATTAATCAATTAGGTAATCTATATGCTATTATTGTAAATAGATATTAAATTCAGAATATTTCCCTTCCTTATAAATATGATTTATATTTATAGATTTTTTTATTTTTTTGATGACTTATAATTTTTAAATCTTAACCAAAAAAGTAAAGAATAAATAATTTCATGATTTATTAGAATTTATTTCTTGATAAATAAATGAGTAGCTTATTGCTTTTAGATTAAAAAATATTTGACATAAGAATAAAACTCAAATTGACTAAAGACATTATTTTAGAATATCAAAGATTTAACTACATTACGAATACTAATTCTCTGATTTTTATAATCATATGATCATTCTTATGTTATATTACACAATAATTTTATTTAGTAAATCTTTAAACATTTATTTTTATTCTTAAATCACTAAATATTTACTAACTAAATGAATAAAAATACCTACTCTTCTATTAATTTACCTATTGATTAATTAATATCAAATAAAAATATGTATCTCAAAACATAAATATTATAATTAATCTCATAATATCAGTTTACCTAGAAATGGAAAATTAATGCTTAATTAAGATTTGGTTAATTAATTAGTTAATTAACCATTAATTAACTGTAATATATAGAGTTCCGGATGAGTCGAGTTAACTCATGAGTCAGATAAGCTGAGTTGAGTTTAAATCGAGTTGAGTTTATGTTTTTTGACTTGATGATTTGCGAGTTAAGTCAAATTTAGTCAAGTTAAATATTTAACTCAACTCGATTTAAACTCGACTTAAACGATGATCTGAATCATTCAACTTGAATAATGATCTGAATCGTTCAACTTGAACAATGACCTGAATTGTTCGACTTAAACAATAACCTGAATCGTTCGACTTGAACAATAACCTGAATCATTTAACTTAAATGATAAAAAAAATCATTCAAGAAGAACGATAACAAATCGTTTGCTCTTTCTTCCCCCTCCCCCCTGATCTTTTCGTTTTTTTTATTATTTTTTTCAAATTGAATCAAGTTAAAATTGAGTCGAGTCAAATTGAGTTAAGTTTAAAATTTATATAACTCGAATCAAATCAAATTGAAAGGTTTTATAAATAAATTTGACTCGACTTGACTCGAAAAAAGAAAGTCAAATAGAGTTGATCTTTAAACTCGACTCGACTCGACTCATTTAGAACTCTAGTAATATAAATTTAATATAAGATTTTATATAAAAAAATTTTTTTAATTTTTTATTTATTATTATCGCAATATTACTTATTAAATGAAAATTTATTATTACAAATAGCTATATATTGATATTGTTACAACAAATTTATTACATTTGATTTAAATCTGAAAATACTATCATTAAAATTCAATAAATTATCATCATTATTATTGTCTTCTTCATTACCTTCTTCATTATTATTCTTTTTATTCTTTGTGAATTTTTTACCTTTATTACATAACTTTATTTTTTTGAACTCATTATACATCCAAAGATTTCTATAAATATAAACTAACTTTTTAACGTGATCATTATATAATCAATTTCAGATTTTGTTATGAATAAATCCAAAAGTAGAAAAATTTCTCTCTGTAGCTGCTGATAATGTAGGAATTAAAAAAATTTTAATAACTAATTGCTGAAATTTACAACTTGGCTATAATTATTACTATACAGAAAGACTAAGAATAGATGAGGACATCCAAATTATTTCATTATTATATGATAAAGCTTTTTGGTAAAATTTTATTAGCTTAATAAATAATGTTACAGATTTCTCCTGATCAAACAATTTGTTAGTAAATGCTGTAAATTCAGAATATCCAATTGTCTCTAAATTTGTATTTCTACTTTTTTCTAAAAATATGATCTAACATATAAGCAGCTATCATAATAGGATGATATACATACTCCCATCTTTTTTGAATAAGTTACTGAATATTTTTAGATAAATGTCATGAAACTTTACCAAATTATTCTATTAATTTGCTATAATATGAATAAATTGTTGAAAGTAGATATATCTGATTTAAAAGACTTTAATGCTACAACTATTAGTTCTAAAATATTAATTATCAAATCTATCATTTGCTAAAATTCATCTGATAATATATTATTTCTCATTA